CATTGTATAATGACATAAAAATAACTAACAAACTATTTCAAAATTCTGCATTTCCATTATCTTTCATCTTGCAATATATTTTGCAACATGTGAAGAAGTTTGAAAATATCATGTTTTGTGAATTTACTATTCTATTCTTTAGAATAGACAAAGAAAAAGTAAAAAACCTTAATTAATAACTATACCAATCACCTATAGATAGTTTAATTTGAATACAATATGACATTGTGGGAAGCAGTTCTTTGATATTTCAGAATTGTTTATACGGTCTGAAAAATTCCTGCTTAATACTTGTAACACTTGAAAAGAAAAATTGAAAAATAGACGCTTAAGATGTTGATTATAAGAGAAGATTTTTTTTTCTATCTAATGAACAAAACATGAGCGGACATTCAATTCAAATATTGCTTGAAAATCTTTCAGATAAACTCAACTAAATGTGATTTGATTAACTGGTTTTCATTGCTTTATTTTGAATAATAAAAAAACTTAAGCTTCTATTGAAAAATATTCATCAAACATTGATCTGCATGTTGAATAATACTCACCATTTATTGTACAAGTGTGTTTTTAGAGATGTGATTAGAGAATTCTTTTCACGTGGCCATCGATATATGTATGTTGGTGTCGATCTTAGTCATGGATCACCTAGTTCAGGAAGAAAATTATCTACTGTAGCTGTTGTAGCATCAGCTGATGAAGTACCTAATAGATATTTCAAAGAAATCTACATACAAGAACGAGCAGCAGAACTACGAAGAGAAAGTCGCGAATATGTGGTAAATATGAAAGAAATTATGAAATCATTAATTAACCAATATAACAAACATCGTGGTTATCCACCAAGAGCCATTGTTATTTATCGTGATGGTATTTCAGAAAGTGAATTTGATACCGTATTCGAAAATGAACTTACGGCAATACGAAAAGCTTGTGTTGAATTATCGCCAGTCTATCAACCTTATCTTACTTATATTGTAGTAAATAAAAGACATCACACAAGGTTTTTTTCTACTGATTTAAAAAGTAATGTTTCGGCTGGTACTATTGTTGATTCACATGCTGTAACAAATCCTACAACTTATGATTTTTTTTTGAATAGCCATCATTCAGATAAAGTAAATAAAATCATATTATATTGTATATATTTGATATTTTCTAATCATGCAGGGAACAAGTCGCCCAACACACTATCATGTATTATACGATGATAATAAACTGCAACCAGAACAAGTTCAAATGTTAACGTATGCATTATGTTATACATCTGCTCGTTGTACTCGTTCAATATCGATTCCGGCACCCGTAAAATATGCTGATCTATTAGCTTTTCGTGTTAGTTTCTATATAAACAACAATGATCCATTTAGCACGTAAATGATCTTTTCATATAATGTTAAGATTTCTCAATTGTTCTATACTTTATTTTAGTAAATCAGGTAATTCTGAACCGACTATTCCTGTAAATCAAGATGTAAATATTGATAATATGATCAAAAGTAAACGTATTGTGTTAAGTTCTGAATTAGCACCAGATTGTCCATTCTTTTTATGAGATTAACTTTTTTTCTTTGATATTGTTTTATTGGTGAATAAATACTCTAAAAGCCATTGAATAATTGTACACATAACTCTTAACAATATATTTCATTTTTTATGTTCAATTATCTTTACCAATATTTTCAGAAAAATCTAAACTCTACGTTTCACTATATGCTAATCATAGTCGATGGATGTGAATATGAATGAACAAACGAACTACACCTATAACCACATCCACACCGTTATTTGCATTTTTTTTACGAGAGGATGGCTCATTTAAGTTAAAATTCAGACCATTCGTCATTTGACAATGACATATTGCATAAAATTTTCTAAAATGGAATTTCTATAATCACGATATTCATAATCGAAATCGAATACAAAAAGGTATATATAAGTTAGCGGTGTAGGTATCACACCGTAGTAGTGTGACAATAAAAAAAAAACACTTGCATAGTAGATACTCTATCGATAGACGATGATATACAAGCATACTTTATAGAAAATTACACTAACTAGTTACCAATCAAAATTATTCATTATAAATATTTCAGACGAAAACTTGCTTTTCGATCTATGACTGATGTTAAATCTGTTTTTATTTAGTAGGTAATCGAATTGCACAGTACACTATATAAATTGCATGGATATTGGTTAAGAGAGCATGCTTACTCCAGTTCCATCTACCGCATCTGAAATAATCACGTTCTCTGCAGATAGAAAAAGATTATTTTTGACTTAATTTTCTAGAATCTGAGACAATAATTGAAATTGTTGACTTTTATAGGGAAAATGGTATGAATTGCGAACTATCTATCAGTAAAAAAACAATAAAAACTTCATATTATGTGTGCAGCAGCATCTATATATATAATGTTCAGTGTGTGTCTGTCTGTTTCTCTGCACCGGGTCAAAGGTTAACGATCAAAGATCAAGGGTTAATAGTCATATAAGGCTATAAGGGGAAGGCACCAAGGGCTGTTATATGGAGATACCCATAGGTCATCAAGGGCTATCCTATAGAGGTACCCATAGGTCGTCAAGGGCCATTATATAGAGGTATCCATAGGTCCTCAAGGGCTATCCTATAGAGATATCCATAGGCCGTCAAGGGCTATTATATAGAGGTACCCATAGGCCCTTAAGGTCTATTATATGAAGGCAAACATGGATCATCTAGGGCATTCGTATAGGATACCCATAGGTCCTGATGGATGTCAAACAATTAAGGGATAAGGTTATAAGTGGTGCAAGGGATATAAGGCTATAAGGACATAAGGCTGCATGGACTTTAAAAATATGCGCGATAGAAGAGTATGAGGCCGTAAGGCTTCAATCTATATACATAATATCGCGTGTATGTATCTGTGTTATCAGATCAAAAGTTAAACATCTGAAATCAGTCGTTAAAGAAGAAACCAGCCGTGCAGTATGCACGGGTTCTCGCTATTATAGAATATTGCATTGTTTATTTCTTCGTTGCTCTCATGTGAACGTCATATGTCTCATTGTGCATTTATTCTTTTCTGCGTACTATCAGTTTTTTGTTGTCGTTTTTTGAGTCATGTGCACACTTCTCTAAGGGATGCATTACCAACATGTCTTTCTTCAAATATTTGTATTCTGAATATGGCAACGGTACTCTCTCTCGACAGCTTGTAGATTTCTTTTTTATCTAAGAGTAAATATAATTTTGACCTCAAATAATGCTAAGTGAAAGAGAGAACAAAACACATGAAACTAATTAGTAAGCGTTTTCCTGCATATAAATAGACTGTTCGCCGTATCACTGCTGACATAAACATCGACATCGGGTGCCTAATTCACGTCAGATAATTTTTTTAATATTTTTTGGTGCTACATTGAACTAGATTCACAGATATGTTTCTGATAATTGGATTTGTCATTTTTCTTTATTTTACTTATCGATTATATCAACATTTTTTTTTATTGAATCTAATATTGACTCTCATGGCCCCATATCCACACTCAGGATACGCATGATGCCTCTTATATATGATGTCACACAGTTTCAACCAAAAGGCTAAATCTATACAATCCTGATATATAGGAAATATCACATAAGAAAATCTTGTAAGGTACGGTCCGTTCCTCACATTAGAATTTTACAGATTTTGTCTTTCACTATTCTCTCATTGTTTGAAAATTTCTCAGGCGAACAAAGTTTCTAAAAATCACACTGTATCCTCTTGTAGAGACTCGTTGTGTCAAATATGTCAAACATTTCTTCGAAAATGACATTTGTGATAGATTTTTGTCTTTCTTTATTCGTTCTTCCTCATAAAAATGTGTGGGTGTGGGGTGGGTGCGGGGGTGTGGGTGGGGCATGGGGATGTGGGTGTGGCTGGGGTGTGGGTGTTGGTGGGGAGGGGGGGGGTGGGGGGGGTGCATGTTCG